CGAATCCGCGCTTTGTGACGGCAAAGGGTCGTTGCGAAGCCGCAGCGAAACTGCAACGTCACAATGTATATATAAAATTTTTTAAATAATTAATGTCTTACAAATATTTAATGTATGTGCACAAAGACTGAATATAATTAACTCTCAATTACAACTATAAAAACTACATGTAAATTCTAATGCTTGTTTAAAGTGTAAAAAACAAATAATCCTCAGCTCTGCAACGATTGATAGAGGAAATTGTTACGATTTAGAAATTCATAGTATTAATCATACTGTTCGCACTTAGGCGAGAGTGGTGGATCTGAAAGGCCAAGAAAGAATTAGACGAAAGTAAAGAATTTATGGCAAAGGTTTATCTGTCAAGAATACAGTAGTAATGCATGAATACAATATTAACGAAGATGCCAGAATCAGAAATACAGTAAATGTAAGATATCATAAGGAGCCAGACTCTCCATAAGAGGTTCCCTTAATCACCGCCAGTAAGGGGGATGGGGAGTCCTGAGACGTACTTACAGGAGAGCTTCCATACACCGCCTCTCAGGCACGGGACGTCGTAAGACGTGCTTCAGAGTTTACACCGCCGTACGGCACGGGACGTCATAAGACGTGCTTCAGAGTTTACACCGCCGTACGGCATGGGACGTCGAATGACGTGCTTCATAGTTTACACCGCCGTACGGCACGGGACGTCGAATGACGTACTTCAGAGTTTACACCGCCGTACGGCCACGGACGTCGAATGACGTACTTCAGAGTTTACACCGCCGTACGGTCACGGGACGTCGAATGACGTACTTCAGAGTTTACACCGCCGTACGGCACGGGACGTCGAATGACGTACTTCACACCGAAATGCACTCAAGGAGAAGATGGCCGGCCATGTGTCGAGAGCAACGTGCATGATGCAACAACAACGAGAGAGAAAAATCCCAGGGAGGGCGGAGTCGCAACGCCACCTGCTTCTGCAGGAAGCGCCGTCCTGGCGTCAGGTGGTAGGACACCATGGTTGCACGGCAGCGACATCGCGCGCGACGTTTGACTTAAACTCAAACTCGCAACATTCCGCCCGCCTTCGTTAACTGTAGTTAACGGAAACCCTAGAGGGATTCAGTCTGAACAGGCAATAGGCAGAGTTTCACTATGGGTCTTCTCAGAACCGAAGATTGAGTCTTAACCGTCGCTACTCTAACAAGTCCATCCTTACCGGGATAAGTTTCGAGGACTCGCCCAAGTGGCCATTTGGCCGAAGGATATCTCTCATCGATGATTAGTACCATTGAGCCGACACCGAGGTCGTGAGTCTTATTAGTCCATTTTGAGATAGTTTGGTGCCGCTGAAGGCATTCCTTGGACCACCTGGTCCAAAACCGATCGACCATTTGTCGTACTAATTGCCAACGTGATAGATGTGATAGACGAACGTCTTCTAATGACGGTTCTGGAATGAGAGTGGGTGCACAACCCATGAGGAAGTGGCCAGGTGTTAAGACACTTAAGTCATCCGGGTTATCACTACACGAAGTAATAGGTCTCGAATTGAGTATCGCCTCAATTCGGGTCAGAAGAGTCATGAATTCCTCATACGTTAACAGTACTTCTCCCATCACTCGATGTAAGTGGTATTTCACCGATTTTACACCCGCCTCCCATTTACCTCCAAAGTGCGAAGCTGATGGTGGATTAAACTTCCATTGAGTGCCATCGTTGGCCAAAAGGGTAGTGAGATGGCGAGATTCGTCCGTAGTTTTCGAGAATAATCGCTGTAGGGCCACGTCAGCCCCTTTAAAATTCGTGCCGCGATCGCTCCAAAGAGTAGCGCAGATTCCTCGGCGTCCTGTAAACCTCTTATAAGCCGTTATAAAGGCCTCCGTAGTATAATCCGTTACCAGCTCTAAATGAACTGCAGAGGTAGATAAACACACAAATAGAGCAATGTAACCCTTATAGGTGCGAGCGTTCCTACCTTTCCAGGTCTTGAGAGTGAACGGCCCCGCATAATCAATCCCAGTATTCAAGAAAGGACGAGAAGGGGTCACACGCTCTTTCGGGAGTTGTCCCATAAGTTGCTGCGCCCGAGTACGACGAAAGCGAGTACATTGTAGGCATTTATGAATGAAACTTCTAATAGGAACGCGTCCTCCTATAATCCAGAATTCTTCTCGGATTGTGCATAACGTAAGCTGTGTACTGCCATGCAATGTTCTCCTAGATGTTGTTCTAATGTAGACTGCTGCAGCATAGGCGTGCGGTGAATCGTCAGCAAAGCCATGTATCTCTAGTGGTTGATCCGATCTCATCCCTAACCAACGGGGAAAGGTGAGGATGTGTAAATCCCTTAAGCCGTTGACAAATAAAATCCATCTATCAATCAACGCAGGGGGGAGAATGTCGTCCCATTCCATGCGTAACGTTCATACTTCCTGCATAAGAATCTTAGCTACTATTATTACAGGTGCCAGAAGCCCAAGCGGGTCAAACAATTTGGCGATCACAGATAAAATAACTCGCCTTGTAACTGACTCGACTCGAATATTATGAAACTCGAATTTAAAAGAATCGGTCTCTGGCGCCCAAGAAAGGCCGAGAGTGTAGACTATAAGATCCTCCTCAGTTGATATGAAGGACAGAGGAACTTGGTCTTGCTTAGGGATAGAGGACAACACGTTGGGATGGTTACTAGTCCACTTCCGTAATTGGAAACCGCCCGCCAAGCAAAGCTGGCTTGTTTGTTCGACGATGGCTTGAGCTTGTTCGATAGAATCGGCTCCACCAAACAAGTCATCCACGTACCTGCCTTTAGATAGTACCGGCACTGCCAAGGGAAAACGGTGCCCTTCATCCTGCAGTAGTTGAACCAGTGTGCGAAGAGCTAAAAAGGGAGCGCAGGCCAACCCGTAAGTCATTGTAGTGAGTTGATAAATTAATAGATCTTTTGACTCATTTGTCCATAGTATTCGTTGGCTCTTCCAGTCGTCCGGGTGAACCTTTATCTAACGGAACATCTTCTCAATAATTAAATGTTAATATGGCTCAATTAGAATAAATCAATAAATAAAACAAGGGCAAACGAGCCAACTACAATATAAGATCTTTAATAAACGTATATATACAATAATCAAACGTTTCGACACCGATCGGGTCATTTTCAATGTAAAATAACAAAACATCTTACATACATTATCAGAAATTTAGTTAAAATATATTGTCCAATGAGAATTTGGTTATATTTGGTTATATTCATAAAAAGCAGTCCATATGTAAAACTATAGAAGAGATCAAAACTCACTTATCGCAATTCTACCATCTGAATAAATAATACATTAACGTTGCGTTATAAATTAGATAAACGATGTACATGTTTAGTAAATTAGATTAGAGAGAATGTAAATTAAATAAAACATATA